CATATCATGTGACCATCGTGCAGAGAAATGAATTAAAGCCTACATGGCACGTGGATACTAGTGAGACAAGAAAGATAAAAAGAGCAAAAGGAAATTAAATAGTCCTGTTTACAGAACAGCATTTGAACTGAGTGAATGGTGGTATATTTGTTTTATTAACCGAGCTCTGAAACTTAGAAAGAAAATACAACAAAATTGAGTACTACTTTAACTTTAGGGACATTGTCATACTGTCCAAAAGGGGGAATTAAGGTTAAAGGGGGGAATCTAAGGTTATACAGAGAGCCTTAATATTAAAGTTACTTAATTCTGAGTGTGTGACCTAGCATCCCTAATAATATTATTTTAACATATTTTTTAATGTGTAATTATTTATAAAGCTCCAGACAGTAGGTGCGCATGAAGCTTTATAGGCATATAAAATTGTCTGATCCCTGCCCCTAGGAGCTTGCGTGATGACACCACACAAGGGATGGGAAAAGAGGGGGTATGGGAGGACAGGGTTGCAACACTGTGAGATCATGAGATGTACTTACTGCTACATAAGCAACATTTCAGCTTCTCTGTGGTTTTCTTGTTACTCATTTAACACTATATATTAAAATCTGGTGAACAGATACATAACACAGAGACATCAACCGTAAGAAGGGATATGAATAAAGAGAACTATGTAGTACAACGTTCAGAGTCAGCAGTTAATATTAAAACATTCACAGCCAAACGTTGCATATAGTCAACTATTTATACAGTTTAGCCCTTGGCACCTCCAGCTAAGGTCTGGGTTCTGCTCCACCAGGTACTGTACAAATGTATCATGAGATACGATAGCTATGTTATGGCTTTTACCATAAAAAAGCAGTCAGTGGCAAAAGGGGGTATCACGGACAGAGAGACCAAGTTGGTTTAACAGGTAGAGCTAAGGGTAGAGTGTTTTGACACTTGTTTTGATATTCTAATTGCTAATTAATATGTGTATTTAGATCACTATCGCTTGAAGAAGAATCCTAAAACCAAAGCGAATCAAACAAAAAATAGTGCACTTGCAAGTTGCTCCCATGTACTGGAAAACAAAACCATAGAGCAGCTTGGAAACCCTAGAATCCATGTACCTTCTTTTAGAAATTTCTTTTTCCCTGCTCTGGGAACTGAATGAGAACCAAGCTCTGCTGTGGCTATCATTTCTGTTTGTCCAAAGCCCGTGGTACATGTCATTTCTGATCTGGACATACTATTACCCTGCTATGTGCTGACAAACCTATCGCATGTCAAAGACTGTATCCTTAAATGCTCACAAGTTTCCTTGACTTCAGCAGACGGAGAACTTGATGTGATATTCTGATGCTATCAGGCATATCAGTCACACAGAGATCACCCGGGACACCCAGTAAACAATTCTAGAAACTTGAAGAAAAATCAATTTAAAACTAAACATACAATTAACTAAAGTAAGAAACATGGCAAAATATTCTTGATCTCCTGAAGCACAGGCTAAGCCTCTGGACCAAATGTAGGTAAGAACTGTGGACTTGATTCTGCTCTTCACTGCAGTTCTTCACATTTGCATGTGTAAAATACTACCTGGATCTTTTTATAGCCCTTTACACTCTAGATATAATTTGCTTCCACTTTAACGGTACTTCTCACAACCCACAGAGTACAAAATGATTTTAGTACACAGTATTATAAATTCTTAAGAATTTGTTATTTCACTGGGTGAAAAGCCCAAGTTTTAGTCAGTTTTACAATTTAAAATTACAAGCTAAATGTTTCCATTACTCTTATTAACCTTTTTTCCCCAAGCCTTGGCCAAATTACTCACTAAATAAAATTTCTGGCTTCAGTAGTTTTTAGCTTCAAGGAGGACTCAGATTCACTGCTACTTTACAGTAGCAACATGTTCTTCCAATTTTCTTTGTTGTTATCTTCCATTTAGAATTCAGTTAGATCTTGGTACATGGATCACTAGTGTACCAAGAAGAAGATGGAAAGGAATGAATAAGCTCTGCGCAAAATTTTCCATTAAGTTTTGTAGCTTATGAAATATATTTAAAGCTCTGTATAGCTTGGTATCAATTATTCACATTTTGACTTGTCTGTGGACTTAAGAGGCTGGTTTGGTCCTGAAAGCAGCCTGTTCATCAAAGAACTTTGTACAATTTCAGAGTTTCCAACACATTTTCTTAGCGGGGTGGCAGCTGTTCTGACAGTGGAAGTGGAAACTGATGTTCTCCAGATTTGGATGTACTCAAAATTGTACTGAGAATTGATTTATATCCGATTAAAAAAAGAATTGCATGCAAATAGGTTAAAAAATTATTTTTTCCTTCCTTCTATGCTTAGGAAGTGGCTTTTGAAAACTTAGTAACTTGACCTCAGAAGGATTTAGAGAAGCACAATTTTCAAAGCTGTTTTGTTTACAAAGATAGGTTAGGAGTGGAATTAGAGTTACATTCAAATATTACTGGCACATTTTAAAAGTTATTACTATCAGCATCACTGTTATGTCAATCTAAGAGGCTGATGACATAAGATTAAAATACATCACAAACGTTAAGTTTTTGCCATACGCTAAAGCTGATCTGAAGAAATTTTGCCTTCCCAGAGCCTAAAAAATAAATAGTATTTATGAAAAACAACTGCATTCTCCAAACTACAACGACTGCATCCTATTTTAGTCCCAAATAATTCCTTTAAAATTATGGATATATTAGATAAATACACAATATTTAGCACAATAAAATCACAGAAAAAAGTAAGTTGGAAGCCTAGTCCAACCTCCTGCTCCAAGCAGGTCTAATTTCAAAACCAGACCAGGCTGCCCAAAGCTTTGCCTGCATGAGTTCTGAGAATCTCCAGAGACGAAGATTCCTCGACTTCTCTGGGCAACCTCTTCCACTGCTTAACAGTTCCCAGTTTAAGGAATTTCCTCCTTATATTCAATTTTTATTTCTTTTAGGGCAGCTGGTGACAGTTGCTTTCTGTCCTTTCACAGTGTATTCCTGAGAATATCCTATGAGAAGCCTCGTAGTTTTCCTTTGGTTTAGGAAAAGACTGCAATCAGATCCCTCCTAACCCACACTGCTATCCCAAAGTGAACTACCTAGTTGATTCCCTTGCCCCAAATACCCCACGTGCTCCAGGGCCCCAGCCCTCTCAGTGGCTCTCCTCTGGACCCTCTCCAGGTTGGCAATCTCTCTCTTGGACTGAGGGCCCAAGGCTGGACATGAAACTACAGCACTGGTCTCACAATAGCTGAGGGGGGGGAAGTTACCACCTCCCTGACTTCGACAGGCAGTGCAGCATACTATCCTTCCAGCTTCCTCTCCTTTGGCTCAGCAAGAGCCCTAAGCAACAGTCCTGCTGGACAGCTAATGAAACGTCCTGCTGTCTCTTCTATGTGCACTCTTTCCAACTAGTAAAACTTTTGTGTGTTTGTGTGGCAAAGAAAAATCTAAATATACAGAATATATATCTTTGGCTGAAGGAAGAGAATACTGACTTTCAGGAGGGAGTGTGTCACAATGACCTATGCTCAATCTTTAATTGGTTAAAAAACCAGAAAAAGTTCCCCCCAAATTGTAGATTATTAATATTGTTATTACAGGGCTTTGCTTTGATGTCTTTGCTCAACAAAATGCTAACTTCTTCCTCCCCCACTGAATGTGCATGTGTGTTTTTCTAGCCAGTCTAGATCCTGCATTTTGAGGAAAGGTGGAATAGCCTATTTATCTCACAAGGATCAATCTAAGTGTGCTGAAATCAATGGGTTGCTTTTCTGGATCTTAATTGCATTTACAATACTAGCCTATCTAATCCTTCCAATAGAAACTGCTTCGCAGCCTAAGACACTGCAAAAGGACAAATCACAAGAAAAATGTGTTTTTGAGCAAGTATCTAAGTGAGGCTTGACCTTGTCCCCATTGATACTAATGGATAAAGAAAAACCTTAAGATCATTCCAATAGGTTAAATACTGACTTTGGTCTAATTCATCCCTAAGTTATCCCCCACTGCATAATCGAAGATGAAGTTCTCACTCAGAAATGTGTGGAAGGAAATAACTAGGTCATGATACATACCCTTATGAAGGGGCTACAGATTAGCAGCTAAATGGAGAGACCAGAAAGCACAGACTTTGTGTCAACTGAGAATTCAGAGGAATTTCTGGCCCCTGTTCCATGACTTTGCAGCATCACACAGAGCGGATCCCTGTCAGTATTACCAGGCCACCCTCCTTGCTGGAGGCACAGCTTCCTATTTAGCCAGTTTCTATTTGCAAAGTCCTATAAATTTTGGGTTCCCTTTGCAGCCCTGCCACCAACTATGTGAGTTTTGGCAAACTAACAGTGTCAGAGTCATTTGTGCTTGAAGGCAGTTCCTAGTTAAATTCCAGGTTCTTGTATTTTCTTGGAAAAACTGCAGAAAAATGTTTGTTTATGTGAAAATAAAAAACAAAAAAAAGGAAATATGCTGAAAAAAACCATCCCAAGGTATAACGCCAGTGCAGGTTAGCAGTACGTGAATATATATATATATATATATATATAGATGCATGCACACACTCCCAAACCAATCTCCAAAGTTCACTGCATACAATCATTTTCCACCTGGCTTGAATTTTCCATTATACGACCTCCATGTCATTTTTCTGGATCAACACATAGTAACATTTTAAACACTTCAGATGCTATCAGAAGTACAAAATAAACCAAACTGTAACAAAATTATTTCAGACTCCTTGAAGAAATCAACTCTGGAGGGCAGCGGGTCTTTTGCGAGAAATGAACTACAAGTTCAAACAAAAAAGTGACCTTTGCCTGTTGCTACAAGTATGTCACTGGAGGGGATTTGGCAGTGAGCGTTCCACTGGGAGGAGTCACTTGGCAATGGTACTGGTTTATGAAAGAGCAAAAGAAAGTATAAATTGGTTTTCTTAAATGATTCCCTACCAGGACGACATGCAAGATATTTTCACAGAGCTGGTGGCAAGTAAATATTTACCTCTGTGGAGCACTATCAGATCCCACGTTATCGCAGGAGGTGTTCTTCACAGGACATGTCTCTGAGCCACACATCGCATCTGCCTCAGCTGAGTCCATGTAACCATTGACCAGCTTGATGTCTCTCAGCTTCATACTGTCATTTTGTGAATCCAAAGACACAATGTCAGATGGGGAGCTCACAACACCCGAGTCCTCTGTGGTGTCCTCAGATGCAAAACAGCTGCTTTCTGATGCCGTTTCTTCCACCTCTGATAGCTCCAGAACTGTGTCATCCACTACATAAACATTATCATGTGCAGACAGCAGGCTCTCTAAATGAAATACAGCAAGGAAAGTTAGCTCAAAGTCATCAGTACATAAATCAGAGAGCTATTCTTTTGTAATTGGAAAAAAAACACATGAAATACATTAGAAATAGGAGGAGGGAGCTCAGTATATAAGATAAAGATGATTTGAAAAGTGACAAAAATTACGTCCTTCGCTTTTAGAAAGGCCATTTGCTCTGCCAGTTCTGTGGAATTTGGGTTTTATAACTTTCATAGCATATCAGTTTCCCTAATTCTATGAAGAAAAAACTTTCCAGGAACAGTTTCTTGGAGAATTGACCCAAGTTTAAATGATGTGGTTCAAGAAATCACTCTTGTTATTCCTTCTGTCAACATAATCTCATTGTTCCTCTTCCATTCTGCCAAACAGGTAATGACATTTCTAATAAGAAGTCTATATACAGGTAAAAAACAGGCAGTGTTTCCCAGTCAGGATACTGAATTGGTAAACTAGATCTACTGCTGGCCCACTGGGTGTCATTTATTTTACACCAACCTTCAATATTTATTTTGCTTTAAGTGGGAGAATAATAGTTGTCTATTTTTCAAAGCATAAAAAATCTACTAATAAATGTAGAGAAAAGTAGACAGTGCCATGCCTAAAGCAGAAACTTTTCCAGTGTTTAGTCACTTAAAAAGGAGATCAAGGGATATGCCCTTTGCATGTTCAATTCTATTAAAAGTTGCAAATTTTGAGAGATTAGACACAGTACAATTTCTCATACTCTGTTTTAGTTTGGTCCCTGTGAGTTACCCCCTTTTCTGTTTGTTTCTTTGTTTGCTTTTTGTAAAAAATACAATTTTTTAATTTTCCTTAAGAAAAGTACTCTAGACTCCATCATGCAATTATACTATTAAAGGAGAACTCCCAACAAGGTCAGTAATTTCAATGACTGAAATTATTGAGCGATGAAAGACAGGATCGAGCCCAAACATATGTCTCCTGGTCAAAAGGAATCAATAAAGACTAATCTAAATGTTTAATTTGGAATTATAAGTGTGGAATTATAAGCCATTCACTTCTACAACCTCAGTAAGCAAAAGAAAGATTAAAAGTGAGTTTATGGTCTGATCTTCCAGACACTTGTGGTGGATGTTAATTACATGAGAAGTCCCAAGTCTATAAGCATGACTAAGATTAAACATACACTTCACTGTATTTTATGGTCAGAATCTACAACTTTTTGAGGCTTACATGAAGCTACAGCTCAATAAAAATTATCAACAGAGAGAAATACTTCTGAATTATTTTGAATACACAAAAGTATTTTCTTTAAGTCAGAGAACAGAAAACAATTTTGTTAAAGAATGTCACAGAAATAATTTTACAAGGGTGTAGCTTAGCAGTGAAACTTGGAGTGGAACTAGAATAAAAATCAAGCCAACATTCTCCTTGACTGAGGTTACAAGATGCCATTAAGTACTGAAATTGATTTCTGACAGCAGAAGCAATAAAATTCATAAGGTTGCAAATCATGATTAAAGTTTTAAGTGCTGTCAGGCATCGGTATTAATGATGGAAGATGATCCAAAGACACTATTGCAACTTTGGAGGAAATGTTATTTGATTTCTTTGACCTTATTTTCTGTAACATTAGTTCTAGATTCTAGATTTAATCCAAGAGATCGTTCCATTTTAAAATGGCAATTACAGGAACTAAGTATATGTCACTGAATGGATTTGAGGCTCATGACAGAACTACAGGTAGGAAAACACTAACATGAAGCATAAATATGAATAATTTGACATTGAACATCAAATAATAAGACCCAAAAAAACCAGACAGCGAGGAAACAAGTAATAGTATATGGCCTTCTTGGCTTTTAAACAAACAAAAAAACCCCAATAACAACCCACCACCAAAACATTAGTAAAAGCAACAATATGTTAAAACCAGGACAAAGTAGGATAGCAAAGAAATCAATTTAAAGAGTGGAAGTTGAAGAGTGGAAGCACACGGGAAGATTTTGAAGTAATGCACAATGCAGTATACTTTGATGCAAAGAGACCTCTATATAATATGGGCCAGATCTGTTGTCACCTGGATGCAATGAATGACCTCTGTCCTACAGCTGGCACAGCAATTTATAACAAAGTACCTACTCCCAGATCCTGACACCAGGATGGCAGCCTTTTCCTCCCTAGCTGTCTCTCCCATTTCCTCATCCTCTTCTTGCCTGCCTGCAACTATTTCCTGCATCTTTCAGCTCAGGGATTTAGATCCTTTTGGTCACATGGCCCTACTTGGTATTACTGTAGTAATAACACTCACGGCTCTCCCTGCTCGGTGGCAGGATCTCCACCCCCAGCTCCTTGTTCCCACATATTGACAAATAAATGAAAAATAATTCTCTTATTATCAGGGTCCACGTGCAAGTTAATCCCTGTTATGTCTAGATCTTGGCAGCTGAATCACCCAGTTCACAATAATAACATTCTCATTCAACGGCAGTTTTATCCTGAAGCATAGAACTACAAACAGATATCTTTCTACTGAAGTAAAACCAAAATGTCCCCCTTTCTTCAAGCCTATCAGTTTGTCTGATAGCACTTCCATTTTATCTTCACCGAGAAGATTCATGAATTTTTAACACAGTTAGCACATGGCACTGAACAGAGTTGTTGGCTACTTGTCTGAACATGAAAGCACACATATAAAGCATGACTATGATGGTTCTGTGTCATGTTAACAACCTTGTTTCAGCTAAGAGCAGCACTAAAACACCCCTGTTTTAAATTTGAGCTATTCTTTGATGGATTAAGTAAGAACTATTTTTCCTTCTACATGCTTGATTAAGTCTTCACTGGGGCAAACTGAAGATGGATGGGCATTACTGGGTAATGATACATGACATGAAAAAAGCCTACCTCAACTTTTCTGAGTAGTCTTGACTTTAGGAGTAAGGATATACTTTATAAAACTTTCTAATTCTACATGGAGAACAGGGTAGTATCCAGTAGTAGATGTGATTCTGCCTTGTTAATTTTGCATATTTTTTTCTCCGAGGGGATGCACCTGCAGAAAACCACCACACACTAAACGCAGTGTGATCACAATGATGGCAGCTACTGAGGTTATTTGCTGGTCGAATAAAGAAAAATCTCAACATTTGCTTCTCTTTTCTCTTTCATAACACTACGACACTTTCAGGTTCTGATCTTCACAACCTTGTGCAGACATATCCAGCTTCAGAAAGAGTATGCAGCAACTGCTTCAGGACTGAACACACAAGTAATAACTGCCACAGATAACGTATTATTGAAACACTTCTGTACCTCAGAAGACTGAGTTTTCAAATATATAAGTAACATGTGACCCCATTCAGTGGCATCAAGTGGGGCGTGATATTGAAAGGGGTGTAGAAGTTGGCCCACTCTCTCCAAGTCATTCTAAAATCCCCGTGGGACATCTCACCCACAAATGAAACTGGAGAGAGTCCGTCAATGCCCTGCATTGCTGCTTACCTATGTCCTGCTTCACGTTGCAGACACTGCTAAGTCCAAATGAGTGCTGTAGAAGGGATCTTCCCAGATTCGCAGCAGCAATGCTGTCGCTGCACAATTAGGTCAACCACACGTTACAAAGGCTTTCTTGCAGAGGGGGATGTCTGTTTGCAAGAATGTTGCCCGTGATCATCAAGAGGGAAAGAGAAGAGCTCATGAGTAAAGAATGTGAGCTTCTTGTTTAACACAAAAGAAATCTCGTTGCTTTAATCTCAGTAGTCTGTAAGTAATTAGGAAAACACTGAACTCTGAGTTTAGAGGAGTCATATCTGCACTCGTGCAGTTTGATATCGCATATATGTACACATTACTCATACAGAATGCCAATGATGGGGAGACAGATAAACCTCACCTTGTTTAAATGCAAATCAGCACTTTCAGAAATGAAGATTTAATTCAATAGTTAAAAAACTACCATGAGTAAAATACTCACTTTGATTACTACCGTTAAAATAACCATCATCGAATTTGAATGAGACTAGAATCAGACCTAAGTGTTCAAAAGATGCATATCCCACCTGGACTCACAAAATCAGTCAGCAAAGCCCAAGTCATCACTCCTTCTGAGACCAATGGGCACAGGGTGTAAGTTGTAACTGTTCAGAAAGTGCTGTGACCTTCTGGTTTTACAGCACTGCTGGTGGTTTATTGTCACATTCAATAATGACAGAAACAGTACATGCAACAGCGTTTCTGAAGATGTAACAGTTGATTCACCCCTACATGATGAGCAACCTGAACTTCACAAGGGTTTTAAGAGACATAGAGTTCCTCTAGCTCATCTGACTCTTGGTAAGAGGTTGGTAATTGTTTTACAATTTCTTTCATCATTTGTTCCACTGCCAAAAAACTTTCTTTTCATGGACTAAAAATTGCTTTACCACAGTTCAAATAGTCTATTATACTGAAGTTGTAAAAAAATATTACAAACTTCTTGATGTTAAAGAATATTAATTCTTATAATGATCCCCAAATTAGAACATAATTCTTTCAATGACAGTACTTAAAACTTCTAGCAAGAGAAAGGAACACTGCTCTAATTATTTGTATGGGCAGTAAAAAGTTAGACTATCACCAAAGACCAGTATTAAAAAATTGTGCACTTTTTTTGTACACTTGGAAGAAGGCTGATGGAAGAAATGGGAAAAGAAAACATTTGTGGTGCCAATTATTTACAGAGATAATGAAAACAACATAGATTAGCTTAAGAGTTTTCCTACAGGTACAATATGTTCTTGTTACATTTTACTCCTTTTGCTCATCAATCCAAAACTTTTACACAGAAATAAGTGTTAAAGACTATTCAGTGTGCAGTTAAAGCACGAGAAAGAATGGGTGGTCTCCCTATCATAATTAAAACTATTATAATTCAACATGCTTCTGAGCATATTTGAGCCTACGTGCATACATTATTTTTTTAAAAAAATAAAAGAAACAAAGAGAAAATAAATGCCCACTGTTATAGACTAATAATAGTATG